CTCCCCTCCCCCTACCGCATCCCAAAACCAGTCCAGCTCGTCCCTGCTTCCCTAACCTGTTCTTCCTCCCACCTATCCCCTCCTCCCACCTCAAGCCGCACCTCCATCTCCTACCGACCAACCTCATCCCGCCCCCTTGACCTGTCCGTCCTCCCTGGACTGACCTATCCCCTTCCTAACTCCCTACCTACACTCACCTTTCCTGGCTCCATCCCCGCCTCTTCGACCTGTTTGTTTCCTCTCCACCTATCCTGTCCTCTATTCCTCTTCTATCCGCCTCCCACTCTCTCCCTATTTATTTCAGAACCCCCTTCCCCTTCCCCTTTTCTGATGAAGGGTCTAGGCCCGAAACATCAGCCTCTCTGCTCCTATGATGCTGCTTGGCCTGCTGTGTTCATCCAGCCCTGCACCTTGTTGTCTCCTTTAGTACTGTTCCTCTGAAAGAGCAGCTCTATCTCAACATTGACTCTCCCACTGTGCAAGTCTCCCTGAACACTAGCCGCTCTGACAGTGTAGCTCTCCTTCAATACTGCATGATGAGAGTCAGCCTGGAGTTAAATCTCAAGAACGGCACATGAACTTTCTGATCGCTAACTGAGTAGAGAGTAGGTTGACATCTTGTTGCCTTTCTTTCAGGTCTCTTGGTTTTTTATCGCTTGTCAAACACAGACATTTATTGGTGCTTACCTTGAGAGCCTGGAAAACCAGGTATCCCTTGTAAGCCTGGCAGCCCATCCTGCCCGTCAGCCCCAGGTGGTCCCCTCGCTCCAGAAAGTCCTACAGGGCCAAGTAGCCCTGGTTCTCCTTCTTCACCTCTGGGACCTTTCAATCCCAATATTCCATTTGCACCTAAGGACAAGACAATGTTTTATTGTTTTTCTATCAGTTGTGAATCTGTCCAATCTGAGCCATTATTAACTTTCACAGTACTGTTGCATATTCTTTCAATTTGATAACACCCTAAATTCTTCATTTTTCCATGGATGGTGCAGCTTTCTTATCAAGTCTTACTTTGTCAATGCAATATATTGAAAGAATTACAAAGTATCTCCTTAAATATCTGTCATTGCTTCTCAAACTTATTTTCTCAGGTCACTCAAGCCAACTCCATCCTCATAACCTTGTAACTACCTAAATTCAAGCTAAAGGCATTCAGCTTAGATGCACACATCTTGTCCTTAAAATGAATGTGAAATTCTTTCGTTTTATGATCATTGTTGCCTTTACTTGGAGGTCATTAATAAATCCTGTCTCATTTCATATTACCAGGTTTTCAACAGTCTGCACCCTGGTTGGCACCAAACATACTACACTCAGGAATTGTCCTGACTACACTCTATCAATTCATCTTCCAGCTACCTTTGCAAATCTGATTCATCGAATCCATATGAAGACTAAAATAACTCTTGAATATTGCAGTACATTTGGATGGAGTTGCAGTACATTTCTTACAAGTCCCTACTATTTCTTTCTGATTACTTTGTCCTGCAGTTAAGCTGCTATTAGGAGACCGACAAACTATTGTCAATTCTTGCTTTAAGTTGCCCCTCTGAAGGTCCATGTGCGTCAATTGGCATACCAAAGATGTTTCCAGCATCATCTTCCAATTTTGGAAGTCATTACTGCCCACAGATCTTGGAGGCCCACGCAGAAGAGAAAGAACTGGAGAGAAGGCAGTTTGCTATCTTTGTTTGCTATGTCTTATCTTAACCCAAACTGATTCTATGTCTTCATTTTTTTGAACGAAAGTAATCTCTCACTACTGTTTTAGGAACAACCCCAGTTTCTCCACTCTCGTTACATTGAGGGAAGTTGCTTATCCCTGGTAGTTTTATCAAATATCAATTCCCTCTGCTCCCTCCTTTTGACACTGCCATTCTTCCTGAAGCATGATGCCCAAAACTTGATGAACGAATAATACTTAATAGTAATAATATTGCTTGCCTTTGAATCCAATTTCTCCAGAATCTCCTTTTTCTCCTTTGAATCCTGGTCGACCTGGTTGTCCTGGTTCACCTGGGTATCCTGGCACTGCCCCTATTGCATCTCCGGGTAAGCCTTTTTCACCAGGTAGTCCTGGCCTTCCCGACAGTCCTGGAAATCCAGTATTCCCAGTCGGCCCAGGTAGACCCGGCAAGCCTTGATTTCCACGGGGCCCAACAAAACCTACAGAAGGATTGACCACATTAAAATCCTTACTTTAACCCTTGCCCCAAATATTCAACAATTGACACTTATATTTGTATAGCACCAAGAACGTAACGCAGTAAAACATCCCAAGGTCTTTCACAGGGGTGACCAACAAAGAAGACCAAGCCACTTGAGTTATTAGGACAGATGATCCAAAACCTGATCAAAGAGTGCATTTTTAAGAGGCCTCATGAAGGTAGGGGAAGGGGCAAAGACAGAGAGAGACAGGTTGAACTGTTGAGGAATGGAATTCTCAAGCATCTGCAGCTCAAGTAACTGAAGGCACACAAACCAATGGTTGGATTTGGAAATCAGGAATGGAGAAGTGAGAATTGGGTGGATGCAGAGATCTCAGTGAGCTCTGTGGCCAGATGTGATTACAGATCTTGGGAACAATTTGACAACAAAAATGAAAGTTTTGAAATTCCATTCGTACAAGAACATTTCATGAAAACCTTTGACATGTTAAGTGTCTGTCCATCGGTTGATTTACTTTGAGTTATCACAATGGGATCAGGGAGCTGCGACTTCAGTTTTAGAGAAACTTAATTGAAGTATTTCAAGGACTACACTATGACCTTGTGGATTGACTTTGATCAGTTAGGGAATGGATGCGGGAGAAGCTAGTAAACAAAATATCAAGATATGACGTGGCTTTAAGTTTGAAGAGGACCATCAACCTCTGGGACAAGTTGTCATCTCAAGTAACGATTCATTTTGAACATTGTAAAGGTGGCTAATTTCACTGTGCAGAAAGGTAGGTGGGATACGAGGTGATGTGCCTCATTGTACAGTGGATTCGCAGTTATCAGTGTCATAAGCCCATTGGCCCTATACCAGTTCTCTGAAAGAGCTATCCAATTAAGTCTTCATCCATACATCCCCAAAGATATTTTCGCTCTTCAAATATTTATCAAATTCCCTGTTAGGATCCCATAAAACATGGAGTTCAACTTCCACCATCATAGTAAGAGAATAAAGTTTAATAGCAGATCTGTAAAGAAGCAGTTGGTCTCAGTAAAAGTGGACATGGAACTGTCAGTTTGTCGTGAAGACATGTCTGTTTCATGAGCAACCTTTCGGGAACAAAATCTGCCATCTTTTTTCAGGGCTAGGCCTACGTGTGACTTTCATCCCATAGCATAGAGTAATAGAGTTTTCACAGTATGGAAAGGGGTCCTTCAGCCCATTGTGTGCCAGTCACCAAACATCCATTTATTCTGAGATAACAAGGTGTAGAGCTGGATGAACACAGCAGGCCAAGCAGCTTCTGAAGA